TTCACTGGTAATGATGGACGGAAATCAAGTGGCTTAATAAACAAAATGCTTCAGGAAGACTGTCCTGAAAGTGTGTAGGGGTGGGACCTGAAGAGTGGTGAGAATCAAGAGTTCATTTGATGAGTCCACAAGTTTTTCTTTGAGACGGAGTCTTGCTCTGTCATCCAGGCTGGAGTGCAGTAGGACGATCTCGGCTCACTGCCACCCGCCTTCCGAGTTCAAGGGATTCTCCTGCCTCAGTCTCCTGAGTAGCTGGGATTACAGGCGCGCGCCACCACGCCCGGCTAATTTTTGTATTCTTAGTAGAGACGTGATTTCACCATGTTGGCCAGGCTGGTCTGGAACTCCTCATCTTGTGATCCACCCGCCTCAGCCTCCCAAAGTGCTGGATTACAGGCCTGATCCACCGTGCCAGCCAAGTCCACAAGTTTTAGAATTTTTTTCCGTTTCAAGTCCTGGTATTGTTCTAAGCCTTGGTAATTCAATGGAAATGAAGCAGCAACAGCCCATGCCCACGTAGAGATTTTTTTCTAGTGGGGAATGTAGAGTGAAAAATAAAAATATCCGATTGTGATAAGTGCTATATAGGAAATTAAAATAGGGTCATCTGATACTAACTACTTGAGTGGCTAACGAAGCCCTTTCCAGAAAGGTGAATCACCAGAAATCTAAATAACAAGAAAGAGTCAGCCATGCATATGTCAGGGTGAAAATGTGCCTTCCAGGACTGAGCTTGGCAAGTTAGAGAAATAGGAAAGAAGCTAATGTGGTTGGTGTATTGTGGGTGAAAAAGAATGGCGTGAGATAGGGTTGGAGAGGCAGGCTAGAGAGTGGACAGACTTGGTAAACCAGGATGCTGAGTTGGAATTGATACCATGTGTAATGGGCAACTATAATCCACTTTATGCTGATATGTGATAAACGAATTGTGATTATGCAATGGTCAGGAGGTTAATGCATTGGTCCAGGTGAGTGATGGTAGTGGCTTACTTGAACTAGAGTGAGGTAGTAGAGATGAAGAGACGAGAGATTTGAGATATGTTTGGAAATAGATTACCTGGTGGATTGGATTTAGAGAGTCTGAGGGAAAGAAGAATTAAGGTTGTTTTAGTCTTCAGCAACAAATTGGATGATGGTAGTGTTTACTGAGATGGCAAGACTAGGGGAACAGCAGGGCTTGGCGGGTAAAGCCAGGGTCCTGCTGAGAGGCAGTGGGACTAGAAATTGCATAGGTAGTTTGGGATAGATGTGGAGGGCCTTTGTATGTTAGGCTAAAGGTATAAGTAATAGTTCTGTTGCCTGCTGCATACTGGAAGTCAATACTCCAAGACACCAGGTTGCAGCAGAGAAAGAGGTTTAATCATAGGGCAGGAGGAAACCTCAAATCCATCTCCCAGAGTACTCTGGGGCTAGGGTTTTTAAGGGTTTGGAGTAGGATTGGGATGAAGTGTGAAAATCATTGATTGAAGAGTGCAGGATGAAGTCATGAAACAACTGATTGAAGAAACTGATTCTCATGCTCACTTGGTTCCACTACGGGAGTCTATTTTATTTTATTTTACTTTGAGAGATGGGGGTTTCGCTGTGTTGCCCAGGCTGGAGTGCAGTGGTACAGTCATAGCTCACTGCAGCCTCAAACTCACGGGGTCAAGTGATCTTGCCTCAGCCTCTTGAGTAGGTGGGACCACAGGTACACGCCACCACACCCAGCTAATTAAAAAAAATTTTTTTTGAGACGGAGTCTCGATCTGATGCCCAGCCTGGAATTCAGTGGCACTATCTTGGCTCACTGTAACTTCTGCCTCCCATGTTCAAGCGATTCTCCTGCCTCAGCCTCCTGAGTAGCTGGGACTACAGATGCGTGCCACCACGCCTGGCTACTTTTTTGTATTTTTAGTAGAGATGGGGTTTCACCACGTTAGCCAGGATGGTCTCGATCTCCTGACCTCGTGATCTACCTTTTTTTCTTTTAAGAGATGGGGTCTTGCTGTGTTGCCCAGACTGGAGTGCAGTGGTTATTCACAGGCACGATCCCACTACTAATCAGCATGGGAGTTTTGACCTGCTCCGTTTCTGACCTGGGTCGGTTCACCCCTCCTTAGGCAACCTGGTGGTCCCCTCCTTCCAGGAGGTTACCATACTGATGCCAGACTTAGTGCAGACACCAGATCAGTATAGCGCACTATAGCCCAGAACTCCTGGGCTCAAGTGATCCTCCCACCTCAGCCTCCCAAGTAGCTGGGACCACAGGTACACACCACTGCACCCAGCCAATTTTTAAATTTTTATGAAGACAGGGTTGGACCACGTTGCCCAGGGCTGGTCTCAAACTCCTAGACTCAAGCAGTCCACTGCCTTGGCCTCCCAAAGTGCTGGGATTATAGGTGTGAGCCACTGCACCTGGTTTCTGTGGGAGTCTTTGAACTGAGTGAAGTCAGCTGTTCTGGAATTCAGGATCTGCTTAAGCAATTTTTTTTTTTTTGGTGACAAAATCTCTCTCTGTTGCCAGACTGGAGTGCAGTGGCATGATCTTGGCTCACTGCAACCTCTGCCTATAGGGTTCAAGCAATTCGTCTGCCTCAGCCTCCTAAGTAGGTAGGACTACAGGCGCCCACCACCAAGCCTGATTAATTTTTATATTTTTAGTAGAGACAGGGTTTCACCATGTTGGCCAGGATGGTCTTGATTTTTTGACCTTGTTAGCCACCTGCCTTGGCCTCCCAAAGTGCTGTGATTACAGCCATGAGCCACTGCGCCTGGCCTGTATTTTTTTTTTCTATCGAGCTGTTTTTTTATTTCAGGGAGAGGGCAGGGGAGGGGGCTCAGTCTTTCTTGGTAGCGGCTTTCCTCATGGCGGCCAGAATGTTGCTCACCTCCTGCTGCTTCCTCTTGGCGCGGATGTGCATCCCTAACCTTTTCTTGATGAACTTGAGGGCCCGTTTGTCCTTGGAGACCTTCAATAACTCAGTGGCATGCTGCTTGTAAGGGGAAAAGCCTCACACCTCCCAGATCTTGTCCCACACAAACTGGGTATGTTTGCTCAGACACCTGCGGTAGCTGTGCCTGGGCTTGCTCATGTTCTTAGTCACCTTGTGGCCTTTGTTGAGTCCCACGGCTATAGGGTAGCGAAGAGCCATGGCTGCTGCTCTCCAATGGAGGCTCTGGCAGAAGCCCTGGCCTGTGTTTTTAATAGAAATGGGATTTGCCATGTTGGCCAGGCTGGTCTCGAACTCCTGACCTCAGGTGATCCACCCACCTCAGCCTCCCAAAGTGCTAGGATTACAGGCGTGAGCCACCGCGCCTGGCTCTTTCTTTTTTAAATCAATTTATGGGTCGGGTGTAGTGACTCACTCCTGTAATCCTAGCACTTTGGGAGGCCCAGGTGGGTGGATCACTTGAGGTCAGTAGTTCAAGACCAGCCTGGCAAACATGGTGAAACCCTGTCTACTAATAATATAAAAATTAGCTGGGCATGGTGGCACATGCCTGTAATCCCAGCTACTCAGTAGGCTAAGGCAAGAGAATTGCTTGAACCAGGAGACAGAAGTTGCAGTGAGCTGAGATCATGCCACTGTACTCCAGCCTGGGTGACAGAGTGACTGTCTC